GGCTCTCTTGACTGATCATTCATTCCATTTTCTTTTCTTATCTGAATCGTCTCATTTTTACTCTCAAGCCAATCCTAATCGATGTTTCTCAATCTCCACCGTCGCAGTTAATTATTGGATTTATACTTGATTGGGTGGGTATGGATTTATCAATGACCAAAAATGGGTAAAAAGTGAAAAGATCCCACGTGAGAATTGACGATGAGGAGGTGACAAAGAAGTGTGTAGTCAATTTATGATTAATTTAATTAGAGGGTTTTACATCTTCATCTGCACAGCATTATAAGAGATTGATCTCTTCTCGGCAATGTGGCCTCAATTGAAGAAATTCTCCAACTTTATCACCATAAGTGATAGGCGAGGGGAAAAAAGCCACACGTGAAAATATTCAATTCCCCGAGGAGATGTAATGGGAAAATAATGATTGAATTGCTGGCATGATGTTGGGAGAATCAGGAAGGTTTCTTTTAGCTCAGCAAAGGGCCACACAAACACACACACGAGTGAATGTGAGAGAAACACCCTGAGGCTCATTCTTCACTATATGGATATTATGCAATTGTCTCTGTGAGATCACTTGGTCGCTTTTCCTGTGCTCCATTGAACAACAACCCCCAAGGGAAGAGAAGTTACCTTTATGCAATTCAATCACGTTTTTCACTGTGGCATAAAGAGCGATGGGTTAGTCTATGGGCAATTTAGAGTAATCTTCAAGTCGTGGGTGGTTTTGAGACATCAGGACTGACTCCTTGTGTGCCACAAAGAGATATTGCGCCATGCATTTCGGGCTAAAGGGATAGGAGAAAAAAAAATGCAGCAATGATGATTGAATGGTGAAAGAATGGGAGAGGAACATGACTTTGTGCATACTATTAATCAGGAGCACTTTATGGTCAGCAGGGTGAGAGGATTGAGACTCGCATGCTTTGCACATAATCTGGCAAGAAGATCGTGATCGACTTGGAAAATATTCCAATGCTTTCTTATAAAGTTACAATTTATTGAGGAGTGCTTTCTATAAGCAAATTTGATGATGTTGTGCTGTGGTTTATTGTATTGTCCAAAGGATTAGCATGTTGTGTCTTCAGAGCAAATAGGGCAAAATGGGCAAAATCGCGGTGGGGCGGGTGGAAGTGTGTGTCCCCATGAAGTGCGGTTCCGCAAAAAGTAACAGAGAAAGAGGGACACGATGAAGAAATTAATAATTCATGCCTATTGTGGGAAATTAATAATTTCGCTGTGAGACATTTAACTGTAGTCTGTGTAGAATTAGCAAAGATGTATGGACTCAAGCGCTGTGTGTGGAAAGATTGTTGGAATAATTAAGGGCGTATAGCAGTAATTATGGTAAATTGAGTGATTTCGAGGTGTGTGCCCGCGTGTCTGTTCTAAATGTCAGTATGATCGTGATATTTTATCTCTGCCACCTCTTAAAATGCAATTTTCAAATTAAACACATGAGTTCTCATGAGGCAATTAATGGGCCATACTTGTGAGATTTTCATGTCCGAAAAAATTAAACCATCACCTCTGTGACTTTTGAGGCTGTTGCTCTCTCATGAATTCGGTGTTGTAGAATGAATGATAATAATAGAGGGAGAGATTTTGCTGTAAAGTTGCTTATGATGGGTTTTGATGAGAAGATGAAAAATTACATCATGTGAAATTGTGTTTTAACCTAGAAATTTATCAAATCTCTGAATTGAGACGCCTCAATCATGACACCCAATTTATTAGTTTGGCCTTCTTGGGGGTCTGCTTGAGCGTGAGTGCTTTATTTATGGATTTTTCCGTACTTTCCAAATTTACAACTTGACCACTGTGTTTTTTGTCCTGTCACTATTTGGACTTCCAGAGAGGCTCACCTGACCGAAAGTGTTCTAATTGTGTGTCCAAAATTGTAGGAATGTCCATTGTGTTTGCTCTGCAAACGATGATGAGTGATTCCCAGGAAGAGAAAATACCCTGTAAATATTTTGTCTCACGTTAAGCTGTTGGTTGGACATGTATCATGTCATATTACTCGGCCTTTTTATGATTCTCCGCACGTAGAGAGGTGATTTTAATTAATTTGTCACATTGTGGACGCCACAATCTTCTCCTTTGCAAGTGATGTTGTCTCATGTGGAGAGTCTCTGTGGTTTTTTCTTTGCCACGATGGCGTTTGATGTCAGTGGAGCAGTGGATTAAAGAGAGATGATCTTCGTAAATCTGGCGATGCACACAAAATACCGATTAAGACTGTGGAAACACAAAAAAAAAGTCTCAATCATTAAAATGCGGTGTCGTGAGAAATCGAACACTGGATGCGAGTGCGTTGTCCAGTGATTGAGAGTTTCTGGGCAATGTTGCATGAATGAGTGAGTTATATGTAGATTTTTCTTGTGCTCTTGCGTTGTGTTTAATTGTGCAAAAGTCAACATTGAGAGATGGTTGGAAAGTATAAAATGAAGTGTATATATGCTGCAAGAAGATAAATAGGAAATGACTATGCTGAAATAATTAACGTATTGAGAGTTTGAAAACTATTGATTTTGAGATACAACTTCTATGCATATGGAGAAATGTCATGGAAGGAAATCGTGGTATTGCTAATGCCAGTGGAATTTTTTGTAATGCTAGGAAAACTATGTGTGAGGTTAATTCTTGAGTGTGTGTGTGAAATTCCTAGAGGATCAGATTAGCTATTTGTTTTAAGCTCTGATCTCAGATTGTGCCTTTGGCTGTCTGTCTTCTTTTTCTTTCAGTGTTAGTCTACAATAAAAATTTTGTGGTTTTGCACGAATAATGTGTAATTTGCGTGTTTAACACATTGGGAAAACGGGACAGAAAGTCAATTGCTAGAGCTCAGACATTTGCAGGTGCGGGAGAATGAGTGTATATAGTTGAGATAGTGTATTGCTGAGGTGGAAAAAAAGAGCAGCGGCGATTTTTCACTTCATGTTCTACTTTAATGGACAAAAACTTATTATGGGCTTTAAAGAGAGCTTTATTTTTCTATAAACATAAATATACTGTGTGGTGTGTGCGCTGCTCAGGAGTCTCTTGCCCGAGAGATATAGTGAAATTCTTTATTGAGTCGCGGAATTTACGAGTGCCTATTGAAAATAATTGGTCGTTGTCGATAATCGCGAATAGAGATGGAAAAAGAAGGTACACTCACAAACATATGGGTATATTGTATAGAAAACACCAATTTAATATGATATTTTTGTCCGGCATTTTCCTTCATCCCCTTCACCGAATATTTTTCAATGGTACACTTTGCCTCTGGGTTAAATACACTCTCACTGTTTCGCCGTGGTTCCCCATATGGTGATCAATTTATTGGTTTCTGCCTATTATTTGCTGAGCTGTCTTGGGAGTGTGTTGAAGATTTTAAAATAATAAACCTCACTTTATGCGCTGCAAGTTTATCTTTGGCCATGTCGCGCGAGTCTTTGCATGAGAATTGAGTGCAGTGCAGAAAGAGAGGGAGAGAGAGAAAGAGAGAGAATGTTGTGTACACAAATTCAATTAAATTCCTCCTAATTATTATATCTTGTTGGCTATAAATTAAAATAGTACAGCGGCAGTGAGAGTGAATAGCCGCGGAGTTGATCAGGATATAGACAGGGACACAATTGGAGAGTTTATGCGGCGAGGGAGAATTTATTTGAAATTAATATGATTGACTATCTCCTCCTATATTTCAGGGAAAAGTTTACATTGCTGCATGGTGAATGAAATGTCGAGAGGAAATGGAAGGTTGCTCGAGGGGGAGTTGAGTGTGTTAATTTAGTAACAAGAGCATGGCATTGGCGAGATTCTGTATCTCTTATCGCTCATCTATTGTAATTGCAACTCTGTCCATTATTAAATTTAAAGCATTACATTTATCCATGACAAGGTTCTCCAATTTACTCAATTCGACGGTGGCTTTTGTCTAAAATTCCAGCGAGTCGGAGAGGCTTTTTTCGATTGTAAGAAAACGAGGGTGTCAGATGGGAAAGAATGAGATCAAACTGAGTTGTTATTGATGATGTTGGCGCGTGGTTTTTCACACATGCCCACAAATTAATCCTCAACCTTTTGCCACACATCATAGCAATGGCATTATATATTAAATGGCCCTTTAAAAGCTCAACATTGGAATCTGCTGAGATCTCTTGTGCAATACAAGCACTTTACAAATAATTATTACGTAAGGAATATGGCTGAGAGAGTATTTGATTTTCAAATACATCATGTCAATTATGGTGGATTTCCTTAAATGATTCCCATGGGTGATTACCTCGAGAGCTGTCGTTGCTTGAGACATTTAAAAGATCATGCAAAATATCTCGGGCAAATATGTGTTGTGTTGAGTTTAGTTGTGAAGAAAAAACGCACTCGCGCGCATTGACGCGGTGTTGGAGAATGTAAATTGCCGACTGATTTATTTGCCTTGTAACTAATTGGCGCCCATTTGTTGGGGGGTTAGAGAACCTTTTTGGTTGTTAAAGAATTCTTTGGTGTGTTTACCTATGGCGTGTGCGTGTGTGGGATTAGAATTAGAGACAAAAATGCCAATTGAAATCAATGAGGCTGCAATGGAGCAAAATATTTTCATGTTGCATATGAAATTTCATAATATAATGGACTATTAAGAGACTCATTTGTATGTCACAGAGCAAATAAATTGCTGGAGACACGCAATTTTGCTGCACATTCCATAACCAACTCAGATGGCAAAGTCAGTGCAGCATAAATTAATTTGCATACGCGTAAAAAACGATCTGAGAAAGACAGAGTTCATGTGCACACGATGTTGATTAATTTAGTGTGGTGTAAGTTATCTATCTCTGTGGTATTTTCTCTTGATAGGCAGAAAATCTCAAGTGTGGTGAGAGATTCTTGGGGAATCTCTTGTTAATTAATCACCATTTCTTGCCACACCGCAATATAATTATGCAATTTGTCCTGAGAATATGATCAATGAGGCAATATGAGTGAGTCTTCACTATCTATCATCGTTCCAGGTTTGGTCATGATGATCATTCGAGGGCTCTGAGGCACGACTGTCGTGTCGACGGATTAAAATAACACTCTTCCATCGCCCTTTGGTCACTGTGGGAGTCTGAATTGCATCGTCGTTCCGCGTGTATTTGGCAGCCAAGAGGAGATAGAATTCATCTTAGGATCGAGTGGTGAGTGGAGATTGTTGATATTAAGTAACTTTCGATGTCATCACGCTGGTGAGAAAAATTTCAGGGAATTTAAATTGTGGAGAGAGAGAGGAAGTGCATGGTTAGGACGCTGCAAACGGAAATTCCACATTAGCATGATGATCTTCTAATGTAGGGCTATCTTGTCTATTATCTTGATCAGCTTTTACTTTTATTTGAAGAGTTTCCGTAAAAGCAGTGACACTTTTTCCGGCCGATTCATCCAATTTGTTGGTAATGTTACGTGATCACGCAGTCCCTTGTGCGTTACACGATCAAAGAGTCCGCAATTTCGACGATCGGACATACTTGATTGAGAGATGCTGAGGAGAATCCTATTTGTGCGCTATGAGAAAATTGGTCTTCGTACGTGAAGATGATGAGCGTGATGCTCTCTTGACTCACCATCAGTCTCTTAAACTCCATTTAGGGAGATGAACTTTATGTTAGCCTCTCTCAAGGCGGAATAAAAACCTCCACTTGGCTGAAGTAAAAGGTTTTTTTCTTCATGAGGTCTTGTCGATAAATCGATACCGCGTGATTTTTCATGTAATTATTGTGAGTCTACTAATTCGTATCTAATTTACACGATCGTTATCAATTTTCCACTTTTACTGCACAACACATGGATGGTATATATGCAAATTGATGTGTGTATTTTATGATCGCTTCATATGTGAAGTTCAGTTCTTCGCGTCCACAAATGGGGGAAAGAGAGACGGGTTGTGCATATAGTGAGAAATTAATTTGTTGGAAGTTGTTACCGGTCAAATATGAAGGTCTCTGACGATTAATTTAATTTCCACGTGAATCAGAGGGAGAGAAAAAATCGTGTCGATTTCAATTTTGTCTCTAATTGAAATTAAAGAGTGTACATGAAGTGTGTGTGAGTTGGGGGCAAAAAAGGAGAGAAAAATTTATGAAATTGAAATGTTAATTGCTTCTTCGAGCCTTCTATCGTTCTCTCTTTCGCATCTGTACTGTCTCGAGTCTACTGGTCTCTGTCTCAATCCGGAAAATGAATTTATCGCTTTGATTGTTGAATAATCGGTGGAAGTTTCGGTTGTGGGGCGTACAAAAGGTAACTTGGTATATTAAAAAAAAATGCTGAAGATCGAGAGAGAGAGACTGAAAAATTCATTATTTCTGGATCATCAAATTGTTGCGGATGACTTATTGTCGCGCAAAAATGTTTGCGCTGCTCCAGGTCGAATGTCTGTGTGTTCGTGTGTATGTTTGGCCAATAAAGTGAAAGAAAATAAGAAGAGGAGCTCTCGGAAGGCATTGGGCTTGATGTGGAGAAGGCGGGTGAGGTGAGGAGGACGGGGAAACCTGGCAGAACCACCAAGTTGTGAGTTCATTGTCTGCCACAAAGTCAATGTGCATCATTTGCCAGGGAAGAAGTGGTCTTTTGTGGAGGAAAAACAGCATAATATGCAATAAGACAAGATTGCGATCGATATGAGCTCACTCTTTTCCCGTCGTCGTTGCCTCCAAGTGAGACTGGCTGACTGGTTGCTCTCGACTGTGGCACCTGATCGCCAAAAGCGATGATCACTGGTGAGTAAGGTAAGAGACGAGCTCCTCTTGTGATTCTCATTCTCAAAGCTGCTCAGGAGGAAAGAAGATTTCGCTCTCGGAAGAGCCCTGGCCTATTGTCTTGCCGCTTGTTGTTGGTGTGTCTGGGATATGGGCACAGAAGAGAGATGTTGGAAGTCAATTTTCGCTGATTTGTTGGATGAACAAGTGATTGATTTTTTTTGCTGGAGCTTTCAGCAATGACCATATCGTGTTTCACGACACAAACGACTCGTTTTAGACCATTAACAATTAATTTCTTTCGGAATGCCAACGGACACTGTTGTGTGTGGTATCGTGACAAAAAGCATTGTGATTGCTTGCAATTGAAGATCAAATTTCTTCATCTCGAACTGATCTTGTGGGCTTGTTTCTCTTTCGCTCCTTGCATCTCTAGTCATTGAGTTGATGGTTGAAATGCGATGCTTTAATTTTAAAGAGATGCTTTGAGAATAGAGTGATCCTCAGCGAAAGGGGAAGGAAGTGAAAAATGACAGTGAGAAAGGTGTTGAAAAGGGGAATGTGTCTCATATTGCAAACGTGGAGATCAATCAAAGAGTGGGAGAGAAGCATGACGATCACTTATGTGTGTCCAGTGGGTACAAAAAGAGAGAAGCGTTGGTTGGGAATAGAGCGCATAGTTGTGTGCAGAATTTTCTGTTAATTGATAATCACCCAAGATGGATGGACGTTCACATTGAGAGATTAAGCACTTCCGACGTTGGTTGGTAAGGTGCATATGAAGAAAATGATTGCTATAGGCCGTTTTTACCGCGCATTGCCGCACAAGTCTACCCAATGGTTTCACGATCACTCTTCGTGCGTGTTGATTTGTGTGGCCACAATGAAATTCTCATTTCTTTTCACTTGATTAATGACCACATTGGCAAAAGAAAAGTGATTTCAGATCTAGAAAGTAGTACCCAGAGACATTGTACAATTATCTCCCTTTTGAGGAATCCCTATAATTGTTATTTGTTTACTTCCCAGATTGAGAAGGTATCTCTTTTAGTGCCTTATTATTCCACCTTTTATTGCCTCGTTATGCGACTGTTGTGTCCGAATATGGAAGAGGGGGAGCTCTGGGAGAGATTATGCTGTGGTTTTTTGGCTTTTGGAAGGAAGAGTGTCTCTATTCTGACAATCGTTGATGAATTTATCGATTGTTGCTCACCTCTCTTTATTTGCACACAAAAGATGTGTGAGAGAGAAGAACAGGACGGTAGTTTTACCAAATGTGAAGGCGTTAACAAAAGCTACGGCGGTAGAAAGCAAAATTTGTTTATTGCATTTAAATGTCAATTTTAACTGCTTGTGTTTGACTTGGACATTTTCATCTCCAAGTCCAAGTTGGATTTTGGACGCACTTTCTGGGTGTTTGTCTCTCAATTCACACGCGCGCGCGCAATGTGTTTAGTTAGATTGAGAGTAAAGTGCGGTGCGTGGAGGGCAAATTAATTGAGTTTAACTGGGTACAATACATGTGCTAATTCATATGGAGTAATTTTCCCGTCTGATTAATGACATGAGGAAGTAGACAATTAAGATAGGTGTATTTTTGGGAAGAAAGCCATACCTCGAGCATCATCAAAGGGATTTCTTAATTCCCTCACTCTGTGTTTTTTCTTCTTGCTTCTCGTGATAAAAAATGGCCCGCAGTTTGTCCATTTAAACTCGAGCATTTAACATTTATTGATGCTTGTTTGCGTGCGGTGTAGTGCTGTAAGTAGAAAATTGTTGGAATGTTAATCGTGAACCTGAAGATATTCAATTACAGATGGGTTCACCATTATCTTGGGCATTTGTGTTGCTCGTAGTCAACTCTCTGTGAGAGAAGTTCATTAAGAGATATATGTATGATGTAAGCTGTGCATTTTGGGAGTGTTGCTATTTGATGAGTTGAGTGTGAGGAGGGAGTTGTCCGAAAAAAGAAGGGCAATAAAAAGAGTGGAGGTTGTAAAAAAAAAGAGTAGCAATGGCCCTCATTTAGATAGTGTGATGTCCGGAGATGAAATGAGTGGAAATATGACGATGATTAATTGGTGAGGAGGAGATAAAAAAAGAAATATTATTTTTTAATGGTGATATTGAATTACAAATTTCAATTCTTTCCACACATTTTATCTCTTTCTGCATTCACACGAATTCTCTGCGGTGATGATGATGTTTGTCGGCACTTGGCGGAATGCAGAGACAAGCCAATGTTGTCCACACTCTTATCAGGTGGAAATCTAATCAAATTGCATGGTATGAGAGAAATTTCATTATCTAGCAAATGAGGAAATTTGGTGGTGAATTAACACAATATGCGGGTGTTGACAAAGCCCATCTTTTCTCCATCCAATGCTTCTCTTTTGTGACTTTTCCACAATATGTAATTCTGCAAAATGCACAAGTCAATGAGGTTGTTCGTCACACCATTTTCTCTGCCCACAAATTGTGTGCACGTTTGATGAAGAAAAGCTGTGGTTGAACTTTCTTCCAACGTAATCAATATATCACCGGCAGCCATCTCTTCCCTGAGGTCTCACCGACTCTTATATGCTAAACGTCTTATGTCAGGCACAACAAGACAAACATGGTAAAAGGTGCCAAATGAGGAGGAAGAAGTCATCAAGGAAGTGCTCGTTTGAGTAAGAAAAAGTCTAAATTGAAAGAAAAGGCCTGCAATCGCACGAATTACTTAATTTTATTGGAAATCCTCTCTATATTGTGTGCATAATGAGACATGTCTTCAGCTCGCGCACAAATTGAAGTGATGAAAGTGAGTTTGTCGCCATAGTTGGGGAACTTCAACGGCTCATTTGTGGTTGGCTTTTTTGGCTACTGAGAACTTCCATGAAGCGCACAAAGCGCAGTGTTCAATGTCTCTCTTTCTCCTCGAGGTTTGTGTTGTCAGATGGTTTGGAGGAACAGGCAATTAAATATATTTTGTAGACATTTCAAAAAGTCTGCTGTGCGCATTGTTGGGGGGGCTTTGCAGTATTTCCAGCGAGGACCTTCGAAGTGACCAAGCACTTGAGCTTGGCTTTCCTCCACATTCTTCTGTAGATCTTCCAGAGGTGAAATAACTGGAAACCTGAGTTCTGAGTACAAATGAGTATCATATTTCAAAAAGGACATGACTATTAATTTGCAATTCTGCCATTTGTGCAGAAATGCAGTGTGACCAACAGATTAAATATGTTGACAAGGCTTACATGCTACGATTGCAAATCAATTATGTGAGATTTGTGAGGTATTTTCTCCATATGCAATCTCTCAATGAGCGGCCCCTTGAATTTAATAAACTGTGGAATGTAAATAGTTGTTGTTCGTCTCGTGTGACACTGTTTTAGGACACTTTAGTGGAGGTACTTGCATTTTACATGGCACAGCAAGTCTTCAGACACTCACTTTCGCAT